GCAGAGTGGAAATTCAAGTAGTTTAGACTTTACTATGTTAATTTAGATAACATCCTAAACAATAAGCATCTTTGCAAAAAGAAATTGCAATTGAAGTTTTTAAAATTAATTTAAATTTGATTTGCCTAAGAGGATTTCCTATTTGCCTAAAATACGTGTCTCGGATATACATTACAACGGACAATCAGCCTTTCAGGGTTACTTTATCTACATTTCTTAATTTTATCTATGAGAAAACTGTCAAATAGGTCCCTGTACTATTGCCAAAAAGTTAATTGGGTCCTCGTACTTATTGGTGAGTCAATTAAGTCCACAAAGTATTAAAAAACACCCAATTATTCCATTTAGCCGGTTGGGAGCCGGTTAACGGTTAAACGTGTACACGTGGCGGTACACATGGATTTTTTCTTCCTTTTTTGATTTTCTTTTCTTTTTTCCTCTGCTCTCTCTTTCTTTCTTCTTCCCCAGGCTTCTTCTTCCCTGTTCTTTACCCGCAAATATTTTTGCGAATTTTGCTTTCTTTATTTCTTGGTTTATATCTTATTCTATGTATTCCCACAAAAGAACATCAACCACTGCCGCTCAAGTCTTCCTCATCCGCAACTGGTGGTCAGCCTTCGTCCACAAAAACCCAACTTTTCTAACCGCCGGTTAGCCGGTAGATCTGAATTTCTCCAACCACCGTCATACGTCGCTCTTCACCCGTGATTTATTCAATCTGCCGCTCATCGTCCACAACCAAAGCTTACCTAGCCACCGCCGTACGTCGCCCGTCTCCCATGTCTTCCTCAATCCCCTCCTGTTGGCCACAACATCTCCATCCGCTGCCACCTGCCGCCCACTCAAAGAAAGACAATCGGGATTCGGGAAGAATGGAAGAAAGAAAGAAAAGAAAGTGGAAAAGAAAGAAATTGGAGGAGGGAAAAGAAAGTGCACGGGAAGAAGAAGAAGAAAGAAATAAAGAAAAACAGTCGCGGCAACTCCAAGGATAGGAAAAAGAAGTCAGGGGGGAGAATGAAAGAGAGAAAGAAAAGAGGACAAAAGAAAAAGGAAAAAATCAAAATTTTTGCCACATTGGCATCCACATCAGCTATTACCGGCAATATATATCTCCAACCGGCTAAATGGAACAATTGAGTGTTTTTTAATACTTTGTGGACTTAATTGACTCATCGATAAGTATGAGGACCAAATTGACTTTTTGACAATAGTACATGGACCTATTTGACAGTTATCCCTTTTATCTATTCTAGACTTACTCTTTCTCATAACCCAGGTCATTAATAAACCTACCATTGGATTATGGAATACCAGTGTACACCCTTAAATTGGCTACATCAAAAACATGGTGGAGGTAGTGTGAAGGTATATGTAACACTTCTGCTAATTCATTAGCTGAATCATTTTCGTTTTTTCAATAGGCACATTTTTAATGGGCATGTTTTTACTTTTGCTAATTTAGGGTACTCATACATTTTGCCGTTGTGAGCTTTAAAAGCCTGTGTTTCAGTTCCAAGCTAAATTCAAGATTTGTTAGACAAGACATGCTCAAATGCTATATACCTCACACTTCTACCTTATTACCTCAAAATTATAAGGACTTATGCACACAAGGAGTGCAGTTTCCACTTTCCAACATCTCCCCTCTTCATTTCTGGGCTATATTACACTTTATAACGATTACACTATTTTTATTACATCCTCTTCAATAAATACTATTTAATGTCATGCTTTTTCTTTTAAATCTCCGGCTTTCTGGGATATTACATTTGAGATCTTGATTTATGGATCTTCTTCATCCTACAACTAACATGTCACTCTGTATTCTCCATCAGCAAATTTTTTCAATAGAAATTGGTAGTTCATGAGAAAATGATATTAGATCAATTTTTGTTTGAAGAAAGTTTATTTCTTAAAGGCACTACACAGGAGAGAGAGATTTCTCCCGCCTAAGCCTAAGGTCTAATTTGTAATTTAACATCCAAGAAAAGTAAAAAGGAAGGTGAAAGAGCAAAAAGTTAGTCACAAAGAGATGCTTTTGGAGGCTGCCCCAACAGGTTATGGTGATTCTTTGTATGTTTATTCATTTTTACACATGTGTGCTTACTTTCTGAGGCAATGAGTTTAAAACTCAACCATCACTCCTTTGGATTTTAATGATTTACAAATTAAAACTGAACTATCACTCCTTTGGATTCTTTGGTTTTGTTTCCTTAATCTTCTTTCTTAAATCCAGGAATGCAATTTGTTAGTATGGCTTAAAATAACTAAGTTTAAAACTTAGAATATTTAAAAATAGTTTTGTTCTGCAAACAACCTGTTTTACTTAGATATGAAAAGAATATTAAGGCTTGGTAAACTAATTTTCTCTGATTTTTCTTAATTGGGTTTGAGCAGTACAATTCAGAATCTATAGCCTGTTATACAAATATCTGAAAGGAAAACTAAGGATGTTGCCTAAAATACTAATTTGCAAAGATTTTGCTTGGCATGTACTACTTTATTTAGTGTGCTCTGTTTTTAGAGTTAAAATATCTATGTATTTTCTAAATTTGTTACAGAATCAAGTGTTATTACGATCTGATGGTCCTTCATTCGAAGGAACTAATGAAACTATTTTCGTACTCTATAATAAACTTATATTATTTGGTTAACGTTGCAACAAAAAATGAAAGCTCAATGCACATTTTGCGGTAGTGTATGGTTTATCCTAACAAATCTAAAGTTCACCATGGTGGAAGAGCTGTTAAAAGTCTACATTTCAATATTTACTTTCGAAAGAAATATGCATTTCAACATAGTAACTTAGTTTGGATCATGCAATCATTGTCATACTTAACACAAAATTTAGTTTTTGCCTCAATTCGCCCCATTAAGTATTCAGATGGCCATTAAGTTTCAGAAACATTAACTATAGATTCTTTTATTAATTCCTTCTCTTTGTGATTGATCTTGCAAGTCCCATTTGCACAAGGAGGGGAAAGACTCTTTAAGTTTATGACACATTTTACTGGTACATAATAGGTATGCTTATTTAAAGAGGCACTATATAATATATGTTGGAAGCTGAAAACTTTAATTATGAGGATATTGAGTTCAGAAGTGTAAAGTAGCTTTAGATAGGCCACAGGCCCACAAATGAGGAGATGGTTGTTTTAACACGTAAGAAAGGTAGTAGAATAATTTCTAGTTCATGCGCTATTAATGTGATTTCTGCCGCTTATCACTCATGTAATTTCGAATAAAATCCGAGGCAATCCTTTGGTGAATATGTCAGCGTATTGATGACGTGATGGAACGTGTAAGACACGAACCTCACCACGAGCAACCTTCTCTCTAACGAAATGTATATCAAGTTCAATATGTTTAGTACGTTGATGATGAACGGGATTGCCGGTCATGTACACGGAGCTTATATTGTCACAATATACTAATGAAGCAGTGTGAAGAGGGCATTGTAATTCCAACAGTAAATTACGCATCCAGCAAAGATCGGCAACAACATTAGCAACCCCACGATACTCGGCCTCAGCACTAGATCGAGAAATGGTGGGTTGTCGTTTTGAAGACCAAGAGAGAAGGTTATCACCAAGATAAACACAATACCCAGAAGTGGACCGGCGGGTATCTGGACAACCGGCCCAGTCGGCATCCGTGTAGGCGACCAGGGAAGAGCAAGGAGATGGCCGAATGTGGAGACCGTAATCTAACGTGCCACGAATATAACGTAGAATGCGTTTCAAGGCATGAAGATGAGGAGCTCGGGGGTCATGCATGAAGAGACAAATTTGTTGAACGGTGTAAGAGATATCCGGACGGGTGAAGGTGAGATACTGGAGGGCGCCGGCGAGACTCCTAAATAAAGTAGAATCAGTGACAGGCGGTCCAGCCGTGGCACTTAGCTTGGCGGCAGTGTCCACTGGAGTAGAAACCGGGTTGCATGTGAACATGCCAGCACGGTTGAGTATTTCTGTAGCATACTTGGACTGTGAAAGAAAAATACCATTTGTGTCTTGGGCAACGTGAATGCCTAGAAAATATGTCAAAGGCCCTAAATCTGTCATTGCAAACTCCAAGCTAAGAGAGGAGATAATGGTGCGGCGAAGTTGATCAGTAGAAGTTGTGAGAATAATATCATCAACGTATAAGAGAAGAAAAGCCATGTCACGGCCGTTTTTATAGATGAACAAAGAGTGGTCACATTTACTTGGTCGGAAACCAATTGTGGTGATGAAAGAGGAGAATCGTTGGTACCAAGCTCGTGGGGCCTGTTTGAGTCCATATAAGGACTTCCGAAGACGGCATACATGATTAGGATGAGCACGGTCTTTGAAGCCGGGAGGTTGATGCATATATACGGTCTCATCAATGGTGCCATGGAGGAAAGCGTTCTTGACGTCCAATTGATGGAGTGGCCATGAACGAGAAAGTGCCAGAGCAAGAACAGTGCGTATAGTGGCAGGTTTGACAACGGGGCTGAAGGTGTCATCAAAGTCAATGCCCGGTTGTTGAGAGCGTCCATTAACAACAAGGCGTGCTTTGTAGCGTTCAAGAGTACCATCAGACCTGTATTTATGTTTAAACAACCACATGCATCGAATAATATTGACGTTAGAGGGACGGGGAACCAACTCCCACGTATTATTTTTATTGAGAGCACCAAATTCATCACACATTGCAGATTTCCAGTTCGGATCCTGGAGAGCCGTGAGAGGAGATTTAGGGATAGGGGAGACGTCTGACGGGGCGGGACAGTGTGTAAGGTGGAGAGAAAACGGGGCCTTAGGTTTGAATATTCCGGCACGACTTCTGGTGAGCATGTGATGAGTGGGTTTTATAGTGATAGGCTGTGGCGATGGGGAATTTGACGGGTTGGCCGAGGTAGAGGAGGAGGGGTGTGGGGAGGTAATATCTGGATGTGGATTGGAGGTATGTGTGGGAGAGGAGGGGACACTGCATGGGTGGGTAATTGTGGCACGTGGGGTGTTGGAGGGTGTGGTGTCACTTTGTAGAAAATTATGGATAAGGGGGTGAGCAGAGTCATTCGGAAGTGGGGTAGGCCAGGAATGAGGTGCGGAATTGGTTTTATAGGGAAATTGGTTTTCAAGGAAAGTGACGTGCCTCGAAATAATTATGTTATTGGTTTGAGGGTCATAACATTTATACCCTTTATGATTAGGGGGGTAGCCAAGAAATATGCACGAAGTAGACCGAGATTGGAGTTTATGAATTTGATGTGGTGGAGTATGGGGAAAACATAGACACCCGAAAACACGTAAGTGAGAGTAGTCGGGATTTCTATGAAATAAAATTTCGGTAGGGGAGGCAAAAGAGAGGGTTTGGGATGGGAGAATATTGTGTAGATAAGTGGTCATTTGGACGGCGTGAGGCCAGAAGGTGGGAGGGATAGACGCATGGATTAGTAAAGTGCGGGCAATATTATTGATTGACCGAATAGTACGTTCAGCCCTACCATTTTGGGGTGAGGTGTAGGGACAAGAAAATCGGAAATGCATGCCATGATTAAGTCCATGTTGACGAAAAAGAGAGTTATCAAATTCTTTGCCATTATCACATTGGAAAACTTTAATATTACGCTCAAATTGTGTGCGTATATAGGTGTGAAAATTGACAAAGGTGGAGAAAGTTTGAGATTTATTGTGGAGGGGAAAAATCCACAAAAATTTAGTGTAGTCGTCGAGAAATAATACATAATATCGGTGTCCCGAAGAACTTAAAACGGGAGAAGTCCATAGATCACTATGTATTATATCAAACGGAGCATATGTAGTAGTCGTAGAAGTAGGAAATGGAATTTTATTATGCTTGCCGAGTTGGCACGAGATACAGGAAGTAGAACATACTTTATTACAAGTAATAAATTTATTAGTGCTAAGATGACTAAAAATGGGGTCCCCTGGGTGACCGAGACGATTATGCCAGATATCCGCCGGGACAACCAAGAAGGATGATGCATAACTAGATGAAGCAAGTGTGGATGGGAGGACGGGGTACAAGTCTCCTGAACTATTACACCTCATGACCGGAGTGCCCGTCCGGAGATCCTTCACAGAAAAACCAAACGGGTCAAATTCAATTGAAACATGATTATCCGTAGTGAAACGACGGACAGAAATTAAATTTTTAACATGACTGGGGGAGTGAAGAACGTGACGGAGAGTAAGAGGGGGGTGGGGTGGGGTAAGGGTGGTGTGACCACGACCCAAAACAGGAATCCGATTACCATCACCAACAATAATATGACTATTAGGACTGTCAGAAAAATAAGACGCAAGAGTACCTTGATTCGCCGTCATATGTGATGTTGCGCCGGTGTCCATGTACTAGTTTGTGTCAGGAGGAGTAAGTGACATGGTGTGCATGGCGGCGGCAATGTCGGTGGGTTGCATGTAACTGGCAGTGTGAGCCTGCGTCAGTCGAGGTCCAAGAATACCGGCGCCAGGATTTGCAAAACGAGGAGCCATAGAACCCGTGCCAGTAGTGGGATAGGGGCATGGAGGAGTCCATTGATTTGGGAGATAATAAGCCCATGGAGGTGGCATGGGCCAGAGGCTGGCCGAATGACCAGAAGCTCCATGTGTAGGGACCGAATTGCGGGGTTTGTTGGAGCGAGATGTACGACCCCGACCATGAGAAACGGATCGAGTCGGGCGAGGAGAAGTTGTCGCTGGAGATGGACTGCCGGTATGAACCAAAGCAGCCGCAGATGTGACTCCAGATTGCTGAGCCTTACGGGTCTCTTCCAAAAGAATCATAGAACGAGCCTTGTAGAATAGGGGAAGAGGGTTACACTGCTGGATAATTGAAGCAACTGTATCATATGATTCAGTCAAGCCGTTGACCATCCGCAGAACAAGACGTGGTTCATCAACTTTGGAACCCACGTTGGCCAGCTGAGTGGCGATAGTTTTGAGAGCTTTGCAATAGGAGGTGACATTGGCAAAATTTTCAAGACGGGTGTTTGAGAATTGAGTCTCAAGATGAACAGCCCGAGAGTTTTTGTTGTCTTGAAAGTTGTCAGCAAGACGCTCCCAAGCTTGTTGAGCCGTGGAATCCGGTTCAATAATAGTGTGTAACAGATCGTGAGATATAGTCCCGTAGATCCATTGGAGAACAATGGCGTCCAAGCGATTCCAAAGAGAGAGGGATTCAGCTTTGGCGGCGGCGGCCTCCAAAATTTGTTCTGGGGTGAGGTTATCCGTGACAGTAGCGGAAGCAGAAGCGGAGGAAGTATCATTCGAGGGAATGATATGATCAAGGACCTGGTAGGCGCGGGCGGTGATTTTGAAAAGTTCGATTACGGTCTCCACATTCAGCCATCTCCTTGCTCTTCCCTGGTCGCCTACACGGATGCCGACTGGGCCGGTTGTCCAGATACCCGCCGGTCCACTTCTGGGTATTGTGTTTATCTTGGTGATAACCTTCTCTCTTGGTCTTCAAAACGACAACCCACCATTTCTCGGTCTAGTGCTGAGGCCGAGTATCGTGGGGTTGCTAATGTTGTTGCCGATCTTTGCTGGATGCGTAATTTACTGTTGGAATTACAATGCCCTCTTCACACTGCTTCATTAGTATATTGTGACAATATAAGCTCCGTGTACATGACCGGCAATCCCGTTCATCATCAACGTACTAAACATATTGAACTTGATATACATTTCGTTAGAGAGAAGGTTGCTCGTGGTGAGGTTCGTGTCTTACACGTTCCATCACGTCATCAATACGGTGACATATTCACCAAAGGATTGCCTCGGATTTTATTCGAAGAATTTCGCTCCAGTCTCAACGTTCACTCTTCTCCCGTTGCCACTGCGGGGGGCTGTTAACGTACATTTATTATTATTATTATTATTAATGTACAGTGTTACTATATTATCCATGCATGTGGACGCACTCCTGGCAAGCTTCCTAGTTGTTATTATTTCCTTCTATTACGGAAGGTTATCACTATCCATTCATAGGTTGTTGTACTACTACTTACTATACGGATAGTTGATATATACGAATAGTTAGATTATTTAGATAGGATTTGACTAGTCATCAATTATGTACATGTATTGCTATTTATACTCAGCAATGATGAATAAACAAGTACGGTGAATTTCATAAGATTTAACTGAAATGTCTTACTTGGAGAGGCAGTGGAGGGATGCATCAGCCGCAAATAAGGAATCCTTTATCAATTTAGTACATAATGGACAACTAAAAATCAGTGGTGGTGGTGGTTTGTCTGTTGGTCATAGATGATGAGGTAAGCTCATGGTATTAATGTATTTCAATGGTGTGCATGTATGCATCTTTTCCCTTTGAGTGTTGGTGTTCTTATAATTCGGATTCAAGAACGGTAAAATAAAAATATTCTTCTTACGGGAGTTATGCTATTTCACAGTAAAGTTTTTTATTTCTGATTTTTTATTGAACTTCGTGATATCAAATTCTGATTCTCAATTTTCGTTCTTAACGCATTTAAGTTCATGCTTTGATAAATTTTCAACCAAAGCTTATAATTTCTAAAATTGAGAGCTTGACTCAAAATAGTAACTTAGTTTTGTTCATTTGTTCTTGATTATATTTGGTAGGAAAAAATTCCACTTTTGGTCCCATGACTATTATACCACTTCCACATTTAGTCCCTTACTTTCAGATTGTCCACATTTAGTCCATGACCATTATCCCCTCACCACCCTTCATCCTTCCGGCCAAAATTCCGGCAAATTTAATGCAGATTTTAGGTAAGAAAAACCAAATTTAATGCAAAGACTGATATGAAAAACCCAACCTAATACAAAATTAAATCCAAAGACTGATTCTGAGGCTGCGAAGTGGACTAAATTTGCCGGAATTTTGGTCGGAAGGACAGAGGGTGGTGAGTAGGGATGGACTCGGGCCGGGTGGCCCGACCCGGAACCGGCCCGGGACCGGTACTGTTCCGGCCTGGCCCGACCCGGTGGCCCGGTCAGTGACCGGTCCGGGTAGGCCCGGCCCGTGGGTTTTCCGGTCCGGGCTCGGGTCACCCAAAACAAGGCCCGACCCAGCCGGGCCCAGTTCGGGCCAAAAACTATTTTTTTTTTTCATTTTTTTTTAAATTTTCGGGTTGGGCTGGGTATTTTGGGCCATTTGGGGTGGTTTGGGGGGTTGGGGGTGGGAGGGGGGTTAATTAGGAAGAGGAAAACAAAAAAAAATATAATGGGCCCGGGCCGGTCCAGGGTCCACCATTTTTGACCCGCCGGCCCGCCCGGGTCTAGGCCCGACCTGGACCCGGCCCGGACCCGAGTCCATCCATAGTGGTAAGGAGATAATGGTCACGGACTAAATGTGGACAATCTGAAAGTAAGGGATTAAATGTGGAAGTGGTATAATAGTCATGGGACCAAAAGTGAAATTTTTTCATTATATTTGTGCAGAAGAGATAGAAATAAATTAAACCTCATATTATTACTTTCAATGGAAAAGAAAAAGTTTTTTTGGACACCTAACATAAGAGTTTATGTTTAATAGTTTTCTTAAGAACGTTCATTTATTAGTTTATTGAATAACTGTGTAATGCAGTAACGTGAAGAAATTCCACTTATGGTCCTTCGAGTTTTGCACCAATTCCACAATTACTCCTTGTCTTTCATTTCATCCATTTTTGGTACCTGACTATTGTTTTCTTGACCATATATAGTCCTTTTCCGATAGTAAAAATGCTCAGAAATGGACCACAAATGGTCAAGAAAACAATAGTCAGATACCACAAATGGATAAAGTGAAAGATGAGGACTAAAAATGGAAATGACACAAAACTCGAAGGACCTAAAGTGGAATTAATTCCAGTAACGTTATTGTCAAGAAGGTAACACTAAGGTGATAACTGGTCTGAATTTTCACATAGATACAGATGTATATGTTTCTTATTTAATTTCAAGTTAAGGTAATCAATCTTATATTGTGATCTTAATTCATAAGATTCTTACAATCTTATTATTTGAGGCAAATTTTTGTGTGCTTCATTGTTTCAAGAAAGTGCAGATTATTTGCCTTTAATTCTCTCTTAAGGGTCATATTAGAGAGAGAAAAGGTGGATTCATCTTAAAACTGTGAAAAACCAAAATGTAATATGGACAAACTACAACATACATAGCATGCTGAACTGAACATAATGAAACTATGTGTGCTCTACTCTTTTAGGTGAAGAGCATTGTAATTCTTTCTAAAGTCTACATTCCCCAATTTTGACACCCATAGAATTGTCTTCCGCTCTCCCTTCCCACGCACAGCGGCGCTTTCAATCCACACCAACAGTACACTGCATGTTCGTAATTTGTAGTGCTTCTTTGCTCTTTTGTACTCGTTGCTGTAGACGAGGAGGCCATTGTTGATCACGAGGTCGACGGTGAGAAGTGGATGACCAGCATCGAGGAGTGCTATGTTGCTTATCTTCTCGCAAAGCTTCGAATTAAGGTCGTGAATTAGGGCACGGTGTGGTGTTGATTGGGGGTGGATAGTGGAAGTAAAATGATTTAAGTGAGTCAGCACTGAAAGACCGATAAGCAAAGTCCACGTCAGCGCCAGGAAGGCAAGGAACGGGCAAACCGAGAATCAACCGGTAATGTAGACCTAATTGATTGATTTTGAAGACTTGGCGGATTCAATTGATGGTTTTCGAAGTAGGAGGGCTCAATTGAGGGTTCGCCCATAGTACGAGGGTGTAATTGACAGTTTTCCCTTGATTTTATAATATCACACCTCATTTGCTCTATTAATTGTTTGTGTGATAAAGAATTTTCACACAAAGATTACAAATTTAAGTTTCATGATTGTCTACTATTTTGAGAATAAGAACATTCTCTAATTGTTGGGTTTATCCATTTTTTTATTACTCTTTCATGAGTTTTATAAATATGAACATTACTACTTCTAATTAGACTTTTATTCAAGTCTTAAATTCGCTTGAGATGTTTATGCATTCGAATTCATTAAATGCATATCAATGATTTTTTTTATAAAATAATGGATACAAAGGAATATATCCATAAAATAGTAGAATAATGCGTACCACATTCGACTTGAGGTCATATCACTCTAAGGTATATGAGTGACATTTGTAAATTATTGCAATCTATGACAAATAGGTGTTTTAACACATTGTGGTGATGCACAATAAATTAAGGAATATATATTTATCGAAGTAATTCCTTAAAATCATTTATGATTGAAAGAATTGTACCCATGACACTTCTAAATGCATCTAGAAGTCACCAAAGTTTGCTACGTTTTAAATTTGTTCATCACAATAGTCCTCACATAGAATGGAATCATGTCATGAGTTCGAATCTGGTGAGCAGCCTCTCGTCAAAGTAACAAGAATGGCTTTATATACCATTGTGGGAGCTTCCCCGAACCCTCACAGTGTGAGGACACCAATGTCCATCTAGGTACCCTCAATGTTTCTTTTACATAGAAAATCGCTATAAAAATTAAATAGAAAACATTAGATTGCATCTAATAAATGCAAAAGAAAATGCATATTTAAGTAGGTTATGAGTCAAAGTGGTCATTGACTCATACAAACTTTGAAATAACTCATTCAGGTTATTAATCATTGGAATAAAGGGTGAAATGAGATCCAACACAATGTAAATTGTTGGGTTTAACTTTGATAAATAGAAAAACAATATCAATCTTCTAAAGTACAAGAAGAAATATTTACCATTCGTTATGCCTTACAGATATAATAGAAGGCACGTCAAGTCTATACTTGTTAATGCTAGACAATTCTCATCTAAAGTACTTGATGAGTATTGCATATTTGTCGAGATTATTGAAAAATATCTTGCATCCCATGTGAAAAATAAGATATCAGTAAAACTCACATCTAAAAGAATGTTGATGGTGAATATTATATCTATTATGCGCGCACTAATATATATATATATATATATATATATATATATATATATATATATATATATATATATATATATATATATATATATATATATATATATATATGGGATTATGCAATATTGCAAGCACTCTTACACATTTGTTTTTTAGACCGATAGTAGACAACCACTTTTATGTATACCAATTAGTGACTTGATCTTAGTTTGAGATATTCTACATATTTATTATATGTGGTTGTTAACTAATTGTGCCCAGTGCGCCTCCCACAGTGCACTATAATCGATCTTAAGAAACAAATGATTTTGTGTTGGATACGAATCTCCAACAATAACCCGCTATTAGCCTTAACAGATAATGTGTGCACCACTTTGCGGGATATGACTTTGATGA